TCTTTAAACTTTTCTAAATTCTGAAAACAACATTCAATAGTTTCTATGGCTTCCTCATTAACCACTGTATGATAATTGATCTGAATGAATGAAATTCTTATTGAATACTTTGTTCTGTACAAAGTGGAATGTGCTGACAACAAAATCCTACAAAAGCCATCAAAGGAAAGTGGAAAAACACACTACAAGCTGAACCAACTTTAAAGTAATGTCTTTAAAACAGGTCAAAATTAGGCTCGGTATTGCGTGTAGCCTTCATGTGCCTGTATGACCTCACTACAACGCCATGTCATGCTCCTGATGAGGTGGCGAAATGTCTCCTGAGGGATTGCCACCGAGACCTGGATTAAAGCATACGCCTCCTACTGGACAGTCTGTGGTGCAAGGTGATGCTGGTAGATGGATTGAGACATAGTGTCCCAGATATACTCAATCAGATTTAGATCTGGGGAACGGGAGGGTCAGTCCATAGCTTCAATGGCTTCATCTCACAGGAACAACTGACACATTCCAGCCACATGAGGTCTAGCCTTGTCCTGCCTTTGGAGGAACCCAGAGCGAACCGCGCCAGCATATGGTCGCAGAAGGGGTCTGAGGATCTAATCTCCAAATAAATCAGACCCGCCACCCTGCATTACCCAATACCGTACCGGTAGTGGGTCATGGCTGAAGGATGTTGCAGGCAGCTGATCACTCTCCAGGGTGTGTCCAGACTGATGTCTGTCACATGGGTCCAGTGTGAACCTGCTTTTATCTGTGAAGAGCACAGGGTGTTAGAGGCAAATTTGCCAATCCTGTTCTCTGGCAAATGCCAAGTATCCTACATGGTGTTGGACTGTGAGTAAAACCCACATCAGTGGAGGTCGGGCCCTCGTACCATCGTCATGGAGTCAGTTTCTAACCCCTTGTACGGACACCTGCAAACTTGTGGCTTGGTAGAGATCTTTTACAGGGATCTGGCAGTGCCCCTCCTGTTCCTCTTTGCACAAAGGCAGAGGTAGCGGCCCTGCTGCTGGGTTGTTGCCCTCTTATGGCCTCCTCCACATCTTCTGGTGTACCAGCCTGTCTCCTTGTAGTGCCTCAAGCTTTATGCCACCACGTTGACAGACACAGCAAACCTTCTTGCCACAGCTTGCATTGATGTGCCAGCCTAGATGAGCGAACTACCTGAGCAACTCGTGTGGGTTATAGAGTCCGTTATAAAACAAAATTTTAACACAAAAAAGTTTTCTCCAGTATTGTCCTTTTATTTTTTAATGGAAAAAAATAAAAATAAATGATGCACAGATCCCGTCAACTCTGAATCTGCATTTTGTTGTTAAATTTGAAGAAATCTTATATCATTTGATTATTATCCTTTGTTTACTGAGAAAATATTTAACAAAGGAGCTTTGGCAGATTTTTAAATAAAACTTTTAAGAATATTTCCATAAAAAAAGCTTTTTTACATCTTCCCTTCTTCAGTGATATTTTATGGCTCATCAATAATTTTAGCTCCTAGGTTATTAATGTATACAGCTAGAAATAAACAAAAATTCCTAAAAGATTTCCTACATTTGAACAAAACTTGAAAGCACTTGGACAAAGACATTTTTCCTAGTAGTGAGGGTGGAAACAGACAGATGGGCCTCAAATTAGACTTAATTTTCACTCCTATTTTACCAATCAAGACTTTTTTAAGAAAAAAAAAAAAAAACTAAAACAAATATCCAGTTTAAACCTAAACTCATATTTGATACAGAGAATAAATTTCAGGATTCATTCATTAATGCAGAACAGCGAAATAGATTGATAGGTGGAAACAAAAACATTAAAGTAGAACCAGGTATGCAAACAGCAAGGGGGATATTTAGAAACCAAAAACAAAACACACTAATCAGCATTCAGCTGTGCCGCCAGTGAATAATGTCCTAAAAATCTACAAGCAGACTCTGCTGGGCATGACAAACATGTTGCACCTGCAGTGGAGATTTTTCTTTTTTTTCCCCCTAAGCTGAAACAACTCATTACCTGTTAGAAGAACTGGAGAAAACCACTGGAGACATTCTACTAGTGTTCACTTATTGTCTGTGTTTAATGCACAGATTAAGGCTAATTTTACTTTTACGGTAATTAAAATTCTTAACTAGCTTAACAAATACCGCAGCATATATAAGATTCACGCTTGGGGGCCATAACTGTCAATTGCAATGAGGTTAATAGAGCCTAGAGTAAACAAACTGACATTTGAGGCTAAAGGAACTGAAGTTTTTAAAAATTAAACAACTGTTAATATCAGGTCAAAATAACGTGAGCAAATAAAATGGATGTTACTAAACGTGATGATTTCATTAATCAAGTGAAAAGACTTTCCAAGAGAACCAGGCTCAATCTGATGAGGCAATCTCCACCCCTGTTAAATTATGAATTAGCCAAGAAGCTGCTTCTACTGCCAAACCTGATTTATGTAGAATATATATATATATATATATATATATATATATATATATATATATATATATACACATTTAAAAAAAACTGATTAATTAATTGAAAATCCTCAAATCTGAAAATATAAAACCAAATGCAAGAGGGGAATCAAAGTTAATGGCGGTCGGAAAAAGCAACAACACCAATTTACAGTAAGGTTCCTGGACTTCAGTGTTTGAGATTGATTTTGGATTAACTAAGTATTTTTGAACATATTAATTGTGAATTTAATCAGCATTGATCGATGTTTATCTTTCCAGAATAAGAAAGAGACTGATAGACATTTTTAACAACACAGTCAGTCTAGAACACAATATATGATAGTGGTAGAATGATGATGGTGGCCGTTTTGCTTCTTTAGGACCTGGGCAACCAGCCCATAAAATTAGGAATCATGCACTCTATATCAAAGCAGAATGTGAGAAAATCAGTTATCAGTTTATAACCATAACCACAGCTAAAAGAGGCTCTAGATCTGGACAATAATCCAATCCTGTCGCAAAGGCCATGAAAACTAGAGAGGCTGATGCTGATAATTTTGCTGATAGTGCTTATTGTTTCTTTATTTACATGTTACAAATGTCAATGGTAACCATTGTTGTGCAGATCTTGATTCAAACAAAAAGAAAACTTAATATACATTATTATACAATAATAAGTCAAAACAATATAGCTGCTGAATGCATCGGCCCATTATGAAAAAAAGAAAAATTTAGCCAAAAACATCATCTGGCCGATGTATCGGTCCATCTCTAGTAGAAACCAGTTATTAAGTCTGCTGTGTATCTTGACTTAGGCCCAAGTAATCTAAATGGCCCTTACCTAATTAAAAATCATGAATACAAAAGTGAATTTTCAATGCATTCTGGTAACATTTTTTGATCTGTAATGCTTCCCAGTAGGGCTGGGCGATAATTCAATAACGATATATATCGATCGATAGACGTGTGGCGCAATAAAAAAAAAAGAGAGTCGATAAAAGTTCGATAAAAAAAACGCAGTTTTCCTTCCTTCTCATTGTAGCTTATCATGTAGGTTTATGCTAGTCACTACTTCCTCCC